GTGGGAGGCTTGTTCACAATGTCCCATTGACTTTCCATTCTGTATCATACAATTCTCAGTTGAGAAACAGGCATCAAAGTTCGGGCATCAGGATTTATCAGATGACATAAAGCACATGGCAAACAAATGTTCATATTTGATCCTGGCTGCAGGGTACACTGGTGAGGCTAGTTAAGACTGATAATAAAGTTTTACCTATTCTGATTAGATACTTTCTTGTTAGAGCAGCTCAATCTGTAGAAAGGAAACCAAATTTTCCCAAAGATCTGATTAATATGATGTCAGGTTCCTTTTAAACCCTTTTACAGAGTCCTGTTTACTTTAAAGTAAAGAGATGGCTCAATGGTTTCCAGCATTTTGTTACTAAAAATAGCATAATTTCTACTGTGCCCCGATCATCCTATAAGCTTAACTATTTGTGCCTTACATCTAGTCTAATTGCATCACACTGGCTTTAAAAATTAATGTCAGAGCACGTCCAGAATGGCAATATATGGGGTTCCCTGTATACTCTTCTCCATGAAACAACCATAACTGGTGAACATTGTAACTAAAAAATGACCATTGGATTGAACTGTGGGACAATTTTATGCTTCAGGGCATTGTCAAAAACACCAGATTTACTCCTAGCCACTTTCAAATATACAATACATAGCTATAGTCACTATACTGTACACTACATCCCCAGGACTTAATTATATATGGAACTTTGTACCTTGTACCACCTTCATCCATTTCTCCAACCCACCACCAGTGCTTCACCTCTGACAACCACCAATGTGTTCTCTGGATCTATGAGTTTAGTTTGGTTTGGTTTTTTAGATTCCAGATGTGAGATTATGTGGCATTTGTCTTTCTATGTCTGACTTTTTCACTTGGCATAATGCCCACAAGGTCCATCCATGTTGTCTCAAATGGCAGGATTTTCCTTCTTTTTTATGGCCAGGTAATCTTCTATTGTTTATATATATGTATGTATATGTGTGTGTGTGTGTGTGTGTATGTATATACACACATATACATGTATATATACACACATATACATATATATAATGTGAGATTGTTTAGTTCTTTTTTCTGGGACTATTGAGCTATCATGTGGTTTTGTGCTTTATTCCATTGATATGAGTTTTTACATTAATTAATTTTTAGATGTAAGCTAACCTTGCATTCCTGGAAAAAATCCCTCTTGGTTATGACATATAATCCTTTTTCATATGTTGCTAGATTCAATTTGCTAATATTTTATTAAGAAATTATGAATCTATACTCATAAACATGGTTCCCTTTAGTTCTTTAAACATATTTATAATACCTGCTTTGAAGTCTTTGTCTGCTAAGTCCAACACATGTATCCTCTCAAAGACAGCTTCTGTGTGTATGGGTCCCATTGCCTTTTTCTTTGTATGATTCCTAATTTTTTATTGCAAACCTACATCTCCATTATAGCAACTCCAAAGACTGATCTAGGCTTGATGGAGGGCTGGTTGTCCTTCTTGTTGCTTGCTTGTTTATTTGTGAGTTGGCCAGACTAGTTCAATAGAGTCTATTTCCCCACTAATGTCTCTTCTCAGAGGGTGAAGCTTTGACATATACATTGTCACCCTGACTCCTCGTCTTTCCCCTGGGCCGTGACCATAGTTTTAGTCAGGTTCTCTTTGTCTATTTCCCTCATCTCCTATCAAGTGTTTGATTGGTTTGCCTTTATTGATATTACTCCCAGCTGTTAGCCTCTGCTAATTGGCAACTGACTGCTCCAGTGTTTTTGACAATGCCTTGAAGCATAAAATTGTCCTGCAGTCCAATCCAATGGTCATTTTTTAGCTATAATGTTCACCAGACTTTTCAGCGGTGCTGGGGCAACTGCATATCTATATGCAAAGAAATGAAAGTGGACCACTTATACTACACACAAAAATTAACTCAATATGGATCATAGATCCAAATGTAAGAGTTTAACTATAAAATTCTTGAAGAAAACATAGTTGTAAATTTTCATGATTCTAGGTCAGGCAAAGTCTTCTTAAACACTAAAAGCATAAGGAACAATAACAAAATAGATACATTTGACTTCCTTAAAATTAAAAAGTTTTGTGCTGCAAATGATACCTCTAAGAAAATGAAGTTAATGCACAGAAAAGGACAAAATATTTGCAATCATCTAACAAGGAACTTATTTCCAGAATATTTAAAAATTCTTACAACTTAATGAGAAGAGACAGATCACCTAATTTTAAAATGGCCAAAGGATTTAAATTAATGAATCTCCAAAGGAAATATAGAAAGGGCAATGAAACATGAAAAGATCCTCAACATCATTAGTCATTAATGAAAAGCAAATCAAAACTGCAATGAGATACCACTTTCATAGCCACCAGGATTGTTATAATAAAGCAGATGGGTAATAGCAAGTGTTGGCAAGGATGTGAAGAAATTGGAACCCTAGTACACAGCTAGTACAAAAGTAAAATGGTATAGCCACTTTAGAAAACAGTTTGTCATTCCCTTAAGATGTTAAATACAGAATTATTGTCTGATGCAGCAATTCTACTCTTAGGTATATATCCAAAAGAATTAAAAACATCTTTCACACAAAAACTTATACATGAATGTTCACAGCAGCATTAGTATGGAATACCCATACAATGAAGTATTAGTCAGCCATATAGTAAATGAAAAAGTATATACATATGATTCAACATGAATGAACCTTGAAAACATTATGCGAAAGAAGCCAGATACAAAAGGCTATGCAATGTATGATTTCATTTATACAAAATGTCCAGAATAGGAAAATTCATAGCGTCAGAAAACACACCAGTGGTTGACAGAGGCTAAGGAGAATGGGGAGTTTCTGCTAAAGCATGCATAGTTTCTTTTGAGGGGATGAAAGTCTGGAATTAGATAGTAGTAATGATTGCATAACTATGTGAATATATTAAAAACTATTGAATTGTACATTTTAAATGAATGAATTGTATGATACGTGAATTACACCTCAATAACACTATTAAAAAATTAAGGTCATGCTTTTCTTGGTAATCACAAGTAACAGCTTTCATCATTCAGAAAAAGGAAAGGTATTTATATGGTGGGATTGATGCAAATGATCAATATTTATAGATTCTTGTTGATGACAAAGTAAACAATAAGACTCCTCTGAAAACAATGATTATCTTCAGAGCATGTTATGAGGCCAGCGATGAAGGATTTTTCAAACTGCTAAGGAATAAGAATTCAAAATGAAAAGTTTTTCATACCTTACCTTTATTTATTTATTTATTTATTTATTTATTTATTTATTTTTATACCTTTACCTTTTTAAATTCTCATTTTCCATACAACATAAATTTCCTTTTCTAGAGCGTTACATCATCTTTCAAATTTGTCACAAGCATACTAAAATTTCCATTAATCCAATTAAAATTTCACAGTCTCACTTTGGAAACAGTTTATATTCCATAGCTAACTGATTCGTCTTTAACACACTGATGCAGGTCCCCAGTTGCAAAAAACATCAGGACCAAATTTTCAGCGGGGATTTTTATTAAGAACATAAAATCCATGTTTGTGGCAGTTGAAGGACATCATACCAAGCTGTCACGCTTAACTCCGATGAGTCAATTCCCAAGCCTATGTTATTATAGTAAAGCAAATTATTTCTTTGATTATTCCAACCCTTTTAGCATGTGTTGGTACCAGGACTCTCGGAAGGGCTGGATTCATGCTGTCATTGCACTTTTTGATAGAGCCAAGACCAGTGGAACGCCAGAGACTACACTGCAAGGACGTTTTCTTTATAATCCTTAGTTAATCAGTATTAACAGAAACAAATGCTAATGGATGGATGGATGGATGGATGGATGGATGGATGGAT